TCAGTGCGTTCGCGTAATACATAGAGCTCGTTTTGCCCAGAGACACGGCCAATTGATAGGTACGGCCTCCAACCCAGTTGGTCGTCGTGGTCTGCGACACCATCTTGCCGGCCGCGAACAGGACCAAGGCACGAGAGCCATCCGCTGGCGTCATGGGAGTGTAGTTTGGCACTTGCACCACAGCAGCAGATGCAGCCGAGGCACCTGCCCAGGTGCTTTCTTGCAAGGCGACGGTGCGTTGACCTTGAGCCTGAGTGTACTGCTCAAATGAAGCTTGAGCAATGGACTGCGAAAACATGCACTCATCCAGCCAGGTGGTGGTAGTCGAGGTTGTAGAAGTAGAGGTTGTTGATGTGGTGCTGGTGGTGGTACTGGTCGTGGTAGTCATGGTAGAAGCCTCAACCGCGGCAAGCGTACAACCTTGCACGGTGATTGAGTTGTAGATCAAGCACGTTGCGATTTGAGTCGCCACCTGCACATTTGCTGATGAGTGAAAGGCGATTTCATTCATAGACACGAGCCATTGGGGAAAACTAGACGTGTGTCACCATATTTCAAGCACGTACATTGTCGTCATTGGTGTCAACTTCAAACATTGTGCCATCGACATCGATATCGGTCCAGTGATCGGCTTTAATGGCGCACATCTGTTTGATTTCATATGACGGTGCACGCATTCAGCCGTGTATAAGATCACGATTCCAAGGCCCGAGACGAGAGGTATGATGTGTCGACTAACGTTTTGAATGTTGCACATCTGCTGCACGCTGCTCTTGAACTGCTTGCCCAATTTGGTGAGCTTGCGACGGGGAAGGGTGCTCAAGTCAAATCCGTTTACGCACTCGTACTTGGCCTACAGTATCACAAGTTATCAAAGTAAGATTCACCGTCGGTGATTATTCGCAAGATGTGAGTGGGTGTTTTGCCTTTGAGACACGTACACGACCGGTGAAGGGGGCGACGCTGCATGCTTCAAACTGAAAGCAGCGGTTCTGGCCATCAGTGTCTTCGCAAGACTGCAGGCGGCGGCAGGCAGCGCCGTTGACGTTGCTACATGTGGAAATTTTAAAGCAATCGCAGTAACCACCTACAAGGAGGAGTGGGAGACAGCGAGGCAATATGAGCGAGGTTTGGGGGCTTGATTGAAGACTTGCTACGGGCATGGCAACGAACCTTCTGTGCAGGAGGTGGTGGCGAGGCCTTGGGTGCCGAGATCATCAGAGCTTTGGCTCCAGTAGTAGCCTTGATTGGAAGCAACAGTTTCAGAGCACTGGGCTGTCTACGCACAAGTATGGTCATACGCATGGTTAGTCCACAAACAAACCCCGGAACACGAGGTATACCCAGATAGCGATGAGGGGTCGGTCACACGAGGCCATGAGCCATCATCCGCTGCAACGCACCACTTGAGTTTGTTGTTCACTGTCCTGAATGTCGGACAGAATAAGATCAGCCGTTGCACTGGCAGCCACAAGCAGCAGCGCGCAGGCAAGAGCCGCCGACTTCATCGTCGGGGATTGAGGAAAGAGTTGCTAAGGATGCGTTGGCAGGCCGAAAACTCCCGTGTTCTGACGCTCAGTCACAGGGGCCGGGTGGTAATGGTCAAAAAAAAAGGCAGCGGGAGCCAGCGGGGAGAGTCGAGGCGAGCTCGTTCACCAGTCGACACCACGCAAGGACGGCGACGGTGACGGCAGTGACGATGCGGATCACTTTGCGGAAAATGGAAATTCTCGAGCGAGTTGACCAGCTCATTCCCTCGTTCTCAGTCGGATCCTGACCACTGCCTCACACACGCTGCCCCACCCTTGGTTTGTCAACGGATGCCGCATGTGGCTACCGCATACTCAAGGAAGGAGCTGAGTGATCAAAGCTATTCCTCTCGCGCGTATTGACGCGCTAATCTCAAATTTGGCTGGGGTCGCAGCCACCGATACGTTGAGCGGACATAAACCTGGTGCAAGGCCCCTACCCAACCCAGTTCAGAGGACGGGTTGAGCCGGACCAGTTGCACGCGACGATCCGGAGGAGTGCAGAGCGTGACGACGGCCGAAGGCGGGGGGGTGCTTTCGACGGAAAACCATGCAGGTAGCACTCGGGCGCACGGCGGAATGCATCAGCGCGCACGTCTGCCCAGAAGGCAGGGCGCTGCCGTCGAGGCCGCCGCCATTTGTAGGGATCTCAAATTTTTGTTACGGGCGACCGCTGAAAAGGTGAGTATGACTTTGTTGCGATCATGCGCATACTGTTGGTCAGTCCAACGGACGGCCAGTGCCAAGTTATGTGGCAGAGCCAGCGTGACCACTGCGAGCGGACATGTCACCGGACAGGGACTTGGGGCGAAACAAGGCACTTTGTTGAGAAGCGCAAGAGGTTGGGCCACCGGAAAAGCGCTCCGGTGGAGGGGGAGAAGGGAATTGTATGGCAGCTTTTTACCCCGACGCAACGCATCACGAACCCCCTCGTCAAGGCGTGGACTGTGGGGTGCGTGCCAACTTGTGGTCAGGTTCACTCTCCGCGGCCTCTTGCCACGGCAGCACGATGAGCCGAAACCCCCCTTTTTTGGGACAACCGGACGAATGAGCCGAGCTCCTCATGCTTGTCGCTTATTTCAGTCAGGTTCACTGAAAGGCTGAAAGGTGCAGGCAGGGGTGGTGGTCGGGGTCAATCAGTTGCCCTGGCGCACTGATGATCGTCAGTCAGCCAAGACAGCGGTCAGGTTTTTAATTCGCGCTTGCCTGCTGGGTCGTCACAAGCACAGGCGCTGTTGACCGTAGACGAATTGGCCGCCGTCCTCCTCTCGCCTCGCTCGCCCTGTTCCACGTGACGACGTCCTTGCCGCCCCCATGCGTGCAGCACCAAAGGTCGTGGTTTTCACTCATGGTGGCAAGGTCGCGACGGACATTGTGTGAGTACGCTCCTCCCTGCTCCAAGTTGGGACCCCCAACATGGTGTGATGGAATGTGTATGTAGCCTGCAGCAAGGCCCTGAGACTGTGCCGTATTGTTTCAGGTACGCCGACAAGCATGTCGTCATTGTCATTGTATTCCACCTCGGAGGGACATTGACATTGTATTTGTTGACACGATGCGCGCACGAGCGACCAGACACGGAAACAGGACGACCATCCCCAGCTCCCACCCTGCCCCCCCCCCCAAAAAACTATGCTCTTTGCATCATGTGATGGCCAGCAGCGAGCAGAGATGGGCAAAAGCCCATTGCTGCGCCACGATTATTCGTGCTTGGGGCCGGCTTAACGGGAATGGCACCTCGTCATCATCAAGAGCTGGTCCATTTCCCTGCCATCTGAGTGTGCATGTGCTTGGCGCACAAGGGCTTGGTTGCCCACCTACACAATTGCACAGTCCTGCTGAAGCCAGGGGCGTCAAGTGACAGATCCCAAAATCGGGGGAAAGGCACAGAACGTGTGCTTGGAAACCAATGGGACTGCTTAGCCAAACGCAGATGAATCTAGACTGGATTGAGAGGATAGCGCAGTATCAGGTTGGCCCCGTGCCAAGCGCCGTCGCTTCTTAAACAACGGCCAAACAAGCAGCCAAGCGCGTCAAACAAAGACTGTGCCGGCTCGAACAATGAACATTCCATTAAACGGGTGTGCATGATGCCAACACGTCAAAGGCCCGGTTAGGGTTGGAGGGA